TTCTTGTCCTTAAATCTCCACCCGTGTGGTCTTCACATCATTAACTCTGCAGCTGTGAGGAGGAAGTAAAGGCTGATGTGGTCAACAGGACTGGATGAGGCCCCTAGAGTGGACAGGTCCAATTGCGTGGTCCTCAAGACTGTTGGACAGTTCCTGGGGGTGCTGATAGTTGCTGTCCCCGAGGCTCTGTCCCCCACAGCCAACGGAGCAGGCACCTGCACTCGAAGGGGCCCCTCCAACTCTCTTGGGTGATCCAGCCTCTGCTGGAGCCCTCTGGCTGCTCGCTGCAGCCCTCCAGAGGGGTTGGAAGACCCTGAGCCTCCTTCTAGCATAGAGTCTAGGTCCTGTGCATTTAGGATGTGTGTCGAAACCTGCTTTTCCTGCCAAGTTCTTTTCTGATATTTCTCACAATTGTTGTCAGAGCAGGGGCTCTTTCCTATGAGGGAGTGGAGGGGATTCAGACAGCGGGTGATTCATTGTGGGAACGGAGGGCACCCCATCGACCCCATCTCGGGACTCAATTCTGGAGCCGACTCGGGTCCCTTCCTACTCAATTATGAGTCTGGTTCAATGTCTACCTTGTGAGAAAACTATTCAATTGTGGGAATTGTGAGAAAACCTTATGGTATTATACAAGCTGGCGCTGTGCGGTTGGGAAGCCGGACCCCCTCTCCCGGCTACTTAGACACCCTTAACCGTATACGCGGGTTGTGCCGATCAGAACCGGTCAGGTCCGGAGATTCATGCGAGTTTCCTCAGATACGCATCTCAGGGAACGCACATCTCTTACATGATGTCTGGCCCCATCCTGGTCAGTCAGTTACGGTTTTCTTGTTCCTCTGATTGAATAGAGGCAAGTGGGGGGAAGGGGAGGGACCCTCTGTCTGATTTCAGGGACCTGCGCCTGCTCACTTTCTCCCTCCCGACTTAGTCCTCCAGTTAGAGGCCACGTGACCCGATCTTGTATCCTGATGGTTTTCTTTCCATTAATCTTACTTGATTGTTTTTGACGTGTAAAAATCGGTCTCCTCTGTATTTGGGGTCCAGTGCCAGAGCTAAGGAGGCGTGGGCCCAATTGCACCGTCACTTAATAAATCGTTGGGCTCAGGGGCTCGCACCCTGCCTGCCGCAGTCATTCCGTCTCGCACCCACCGCACCACGCTCACGTTCTTGGGTTTACCCGGGCTGTGTGAAGACCCAGTGAGATCTGTTTACAGGGTGCTCAGCCGCGTGTGTGGTGCGTAGTAGGCACTATCGACATGCTCATTCCCTTCCCTCCCTCTTCAGCTCGGGGCTGGTGAGTGGGATGGCTTCCACGGCTCCACTGACTAGTTCTGACCCAGCACTGAGCAGTTCTAACGATCAGCAGCGATCGAGGTCTGGGAGGATCATCTCCCCTTTGTATTTCCCTTGGGATTGTAGATAATTGGCTCCCCTGTGGAAGCTCTGGTCCTCCCTGGCTGCTCACCTCCCAAGCCTGTGCCCCTCTCTGCACCCCGTCTTTTCCCTGCAGGAATATCGCAGCATCACCTGGTCCCTGGTCAGACAGCTCCTGGTGGCCTTGTGCCCACATGGCTCACCTGAGGCCAGAGCTGTGCCCTGCCCCGATGAGCCTTGGGAGGGCCTCTGCTGTGGCTCACCTTCCAGACCCCTGAACTCTCTGTTGTCATTAGCGGGGAGTCCCCCAGCCTGACCCCAACTGCTCCGATCTCTTGCTTCCAATCCTTCTTGGGTGGACTCCCCCCTGCCCTGCTGAGGCCTCCTTGGCCCTCCCCTGGAAGCGAAGCCCACTTTGCTCTCACCCTCCTGTTTCAGGTGTCTGGCGGCCCTTCTCTGCTTCCTCTGATGCTGCCCTCCAGATAGGGCTCAGGACTCCCCTCTGACTCTGTCCTCCCCCAGCGGAGTTCTGGCTCTGAGGTGTTAGGCATCCTTCCTCACACCAGGGCCATGGATGGGCGCTCCACCCCTCCAGAGCTGGACTTTTCTGCTCCTCCCCCCCCCCAAACTCACCCGCCCTGTGTCTTGGTGGGGGTGGGGGTGGGGCACCAGTGGCTGTTTATTAATAGGAGGCATCTGCAGGTCAGGAAGAAGGTGGTAACTCTGCCTGGGCAGACCTGTGGGAGAGGGGTCGGGCCTGGGGGTCTTTTGGAAGCATCTCATTGAGATTGGTGACTGTATGGTCCCAATTTTAACCCTCTTCCAATATGTAGGATAATTTTATTCAACAGACACATGTAGCTCTCATCCTCAGCATCAGGTGGTCTGGACATTAGAGAAATACCTCCTCCTGCCCCCAAAAAGCCTTGGGTGAGTTTTGAGGGGGAGAAAGGGACCTTTGGAGGGATCAAGAGGGCTTCCTGTAGGAGGCAGCCCTTGAATTGGGCTTAAATTTCAGGAAGTTTATTCAGTGTTTATTCAGTGACCTATGGGGGGATGCTCCAGTGAGGGGGAGCACCTCCCAGAATGGCCCCATGGTTTCCTTTGCCAATCCCAAAGCCCTCACATTATCTTGGGGTCCCCTCCAGCATTTGCCCCCAGAAATACCAAGGTCTCCAGGTTCAGAGCCACTGAGAGAGAAGGTCCTAAACACTGACTTGCCTCCAGGCGGCCCTGACCACTGACTGCCTTCACCAACTCTGGAGCCCAAGGGCAGCTATGGCAGCAGGCAGTCGATCCCCCTGGGGCGAGAAGAGCCACAGAACCTGGCTGAGCCCAAGAGCTCCTGACCACGTGGGAGGGGTCAGAGGATCCCTTCCCTCCCCCCAGGATGGCAGCAGCTGCCCTTAGGGCCCCTGTGGCTTGGTACCGGGGGAAAAGTGTGAGTGGGGCCTGAGGTTGTACTAAGGCTTTGGTCACTTTTGTAGTGTGTAGACACTGCCCATCTGGGCCGGAAGTGACAGGTGCTGACCTCCTGAAAATAACCTGAAGAGCCTCAGATCCTGCCGTGTGCTCCCTGCGCAGGAAGGCTGGAAGCCACAGGCAGACCTCTTGGCATGAATGGCTTCCCCCTCGGTTAACCAGACAAAGCCAGTTAACTGAGATGTTTTCACCTGCCTACCCCAGTCCCCATCACAGGCTCTTAGGTTCCCCTAAGGCTCTGCTAAAAGGGCTTGATGGTCCCGGTGGGGCCCCCCCATCAAAGGCAGCAGGAGCTCCTCACCCTGCCCTTGAATCCTGGCCGTAGCCTCCAAATGATTCCTGTGACTTCGTCAAGCTCAAAAGAGCTTCTGGGGACACAGCATTGAGGACTCTTCCTGAGAGTTTGGAGCCTCAGGTGAATGGGGAGGGGGGAGTCCTGGGAAGTGCCAGAAGATAGTCAGTGGCCTGGGCCCCAAACGTCTTTCCCAGAGCCCCACACCAATGGCCTGCTGCTCCCTGGGCTTCCCTCATCCTCGAAACAGCTCCAACCATCAGGAAAGGCAGGGCATTCCACCCTTTTTAGAGGTGAGGAGAGCCACGGGGAGCCAGGGGCAGAGCCCAGGTAGCCTGGCTCCCTCGTAAGGCTTCTCCCCTTCATTCTTGCTGTGGTGCTCTCCTCTGCCTGGTTTTAAGAACTAGAGGCTGAGGTCGGGGCGGGGGGGGAGGGGTGGGGTGTGGCATAGTGGGCAGGACCTGATCTGGGAGCCAGGCAGGTGTAGAAAGCACAAGAAGGCGGCGAGGTTGTGAACAGGGATTCTTCGTGGTGCTGAGAGCTGAGGAGCTGAGGGAGGAAAGTGGGGCAGGGGGCAGGCATGGTAAGTCAACCTGGAAAGCCACGCCTGGCACAGGAGGCTGGATGGGGGCATGCCAGGGGAGCTCACTCTGGGAAACATCGCAAGCCCAATAGGTCATCAGCGTAATGGATGTGGTGGCAAGTGATAGGTGGCTCCATCTCGGGCTGCTTTGAGAGGCACACACAGCCTCTGCCCTTGTCAGACCTCCTCTGGGGGAGTTGAGTTCAGTCTGGGGAGCTGCCATGGGTGAAGGCCATTGATGCGTGGGAGAGCAGGCAGGCGAGGGAAGGGCCTCGAGAGTCCTTGGCCTTTGAGGATCTGTTGAAGGGGATGCTTCAAAGCCCAGAGAAGAGGGGGCGTCCTGTGGAGGAGGGGTTGGCCCAGCTCCATCCTGCCCAAGAGCAGAGTAGAACTGGCTAAGAGGCTAACAAGGCCCCATTGTCAGTAGACATTCCCTAAAGACTAGAGCATTCAGAAGGGGAGTGAGCTCCCTGCCTGTGGAGGTCTTCAAGCAGAGGTGGACAACCTCGGTATTCTCGCGGGTGTTCACTTAAGTTGGATGAGCTGGCCACTGGGGTCCCTTGCGGTTCTTGCATCTGTGACTCTGGGGCCCGTCTTTGGTCTTGTCTGGGGGCTGCTTGCCTTCCATGACTCACCCCCCTCCACATCCCTTCATGAATTAGTGATGCCATCAACTCTGAGGCCATTCCACCTTTCATCCAGAATCCTCACTCCACCCAGGCCTTAGCATAAGGGTGATTATCCCAATTTGCAAATGAGTAAATGGAGCCTAGGAGAAGTGATTTACCCAAAGTTACGGGATCAGTAAGTGATGGGTGGGAAGAGAGCACCATTACAGTCCTGTGCTTATGTATATACGTGCATGAGCATGGGAGGTGGGGAACGTGGCAGGAGTGTCCACATGCCTCTTCTAGCCTTTTTTTGGTGCTACCATTCAGTCCTGAGGAGCCCACAGATCACCTGCAGCCCCCAGTGATAGGCTACCTTAATTCCTGTTTTAGCCCCATTAATCCCATTTGATGCCTTTGGGTGGAAGCATGCTGGCAGTATGGGCTTCTACATCAAGGGCCAGTCACCCCAATTCTGACTAACTGTAACCAGCTGCCCACTTTCTGCCCATTCTTAGCCCCTTTCTCCCCCACCCCCAAGGGTTAGGTGAAAAGTTGACATAGCTGTCTCAGTGACTTTGCAGGGATACCTGTCCCAGAGAGGACAAGTCCCCTGGCTCAGTGTTCTGTGGATGTATCAGACATCACAGGCCAGAAGATTGTCTTATGTTTGCTTTATCTGGCACACATAAAGCCCAGGAATAACACAGGAATAACTGAAGCTCAGGCATGATCACAAACATATGGCTTCTGGACACAAGCAATAATTGGGGTTGAGGAGGATGTGGTACCTAAGAGATGACATACTTTCACCCTTTGCCCCATGCAGGAAAAACTCCCACTGGGAAAATTGGCCAATGAGAGGAGTGAGAGATGAGACGAGGGAGTGAGGGTGGAATCCCTTCCCGTGGACACAGAGGCCTGGATTGTCCAACTATGGGCAGGGAGCAGGATTTGTAAACAGTACGCAGAGTACTCACTGTCCCTGTTGCACCGGTCACCTTTCTTAGGTGTCCTGTTTTCCCAGGTGGCCACAAGGGCCAGCTTTTCAGTCCTGCTAAAAGTACCAGGAGCATCCAGTGTTCAGGCACATGTCACAGCATCAGCATACATTGAAGCAGGCTTGGGCCCCCATCTCCCAAAGTGACTAACAAAGTGGGGGTGACACCCAGCGCCACACAAAACCCTAGGGCCTGAGAATATTCTTGTACTGCCCTGCATCCAGTGAGGGAAACCCAGGCAGGGGTAACCCTAATTGCGCTCAGTCTCAGCTCCACTAACTCTGTCCTCAAAGATGGTGTGAATGAAACAGCCAAGTGTGGAAACCAGAGAAGTGGTGGAGTTCCATGCAGCCTGGCCCTCGGAGTCCCTCAGCATGACCATTAAACAGTGATCAGATCACTAGGGGCCATGTTGGATTCGCTGATTCCTTCCCAGCCCTATTGATGCCCCTGCTCCTTCGGGACACTGGCTGGTCCTGCTCCAGCTCACGTTGGTTAGTTAAGGATTGGAGAGACCCAGTGAGTTTTAACCCTGAAATACATGAGTATCAGCAAACTCTTCGTTTCCTCTAAGCATCAACCAACATGTCTTGAGCTTAGTAGGGAGGGTAACTCGTCCCTGTGTGTGAATAGCTGGGCAGGCAAAAGCTAGAATAATATTTCTAGCCTGCTTGGGTTTATGCCCAGTGGGAGCTGTCCAGTGCTGAATCTACCTAGAGAAGTCTTCTCTCAGAAACTTGCCTTAAGCATGGACAAAGCCCATGAAGACTCCCACTGGGCCTCTGATCTGTCAGTCATAGGGAAGTCAGACAGAGGGTGTTCTGCTAGATGGAGATCACTTTAAATGGCTCAGACACCCAAACTTCCCTTTGTCTTCCAAACCCTGGTGTTTAGGAGAGTTGGAAAAACCAACCGCTGTTAAAGGGGGGAGGGACAATTAATACCCTCCATTGGAGCATACTACCTCTGGTCCTCCACTGCACCTGGGGAGCTGTACACGAGGCAGGGTTGGAGAGCAATGAGTGTAGAGGAATATTCATTCATGGAAGGTGGCAGTTCTGGACACAGTCCCTCACCGCAAGGCAGGCATGGATCCATAGTTCCATCCACTGATGGAACATGGCAGCTTTGGGCAAAGTCCTCCACTTCATCTGGGAAGTTGTTCACAAGGCAAACGTTGCTGCTGGAGGTCCATTTATTCATAGAAGATGGCAGCTCTGGGCACAGCCCCTCACCACAAAGCAAATATAGATCCTCAGGACCCATCTGTTGATAGAAGGTGGCTCTGGGCAAAATCCTCCACTAGACCTGGGAAGTTGTCTACAAGGTGAGCATGAAGGCCTATCCATTCAGGGAAGGCTGTAGCTCTGGGTGCAGTACCTTGCCATGCCTGGGGAGCCATCTGCAAAGCGAGCATAGAGCTTGGAGGGCCATTCATTCCTGAAAATGGCAGCTCTGTGCACGGTTCCTTGGGAGTTATCCACAAAGCAGGCATGGAGGTTGGACGCCCCTCCATTCAAGGCAAGCTGCAGGTCTGGACACAGTCTCCCACCATGCCTCAGGAGCTGTCCATAAGGTGGGCATGGATCCTGGAGGCCCAACTTTTCATGGACGGCGGCATCTCTGGAGGCATTTTTAGAAAGGGGTTAAAAATGCACCAGTCCAATGACCTGAGCCAAATCCTGCTCATTTGCTCCAACCTGGCATTTACTTGCCAGGAAAGTCTTTGATTCCAAACTTGCATATGTAGCTCATGTTTGAATGAATCAGCCCAGAAGATGTTGCCTAGCATTAGATGGCATGCTATCAGGATGACACCCCACAAATACCAACAGCCCAGAAGACTGGACCTGTTTAGCTGGGAAACCAACATTATGTTCCCAGAAAGTTTGTGGTCTGAAGCCTCCAAGCAGAGAGCCATGAGAAGAGAGAGCCATTCTTCAGGGGTGACGTATGAATGTGACTCAGGATGGAAGACGAGTGCGCACCCTGTCTCCCAAACCCCTCACTTTTCTGTACTTTCTGTGGGCTTTGTTCCTGTAGCTGTGACAGGATTGTTCTAGGTCCTGGATTAATGATGGGAGAAGTCATAAACACTGCTGTGTGTGTGCATTCAAACATGCTAACTCTCCCCAGATACTCACTCTGGGCAGGACTTGCATCTGCAAGTCAATTGAAATATTCTTCACATAGCCGCTAAACTTGCTTCCTGGAGAAGGAATCTCCAGAGTCTGCCAGGAAGAGGACAAAAGAAGACACCAAAATGACCCACCACACCTCCTTTGCCAGCCAATCAAGCGGATACCTCTCTAGACCTCAGAGCGGTGATTTCGGAATCCTCCATGGCAAACTTCCCGTTGAGTTGTTCATTGTGGGAGTCGGGAGAGTAAAGGTAAACAGGGACCTCTGTGAGCGAGGTGGCCGTGTAGGAGGTGGAGCGGGTGGAGCAGCGCTCCCTCCGCCGCTGGCCCCACTGAATCTTATACTGTGCCCATTGTCTCTTCAATGCTCCTTGGACCTGGAAAAGGAGAAGGGTTGAGGTTAGTGTCATTGAGGAGCCCCTCTGAGCCCCCTCTCCACCTTGTAAAGCCTTTTCGGGGAGGAGGATAGAAGTGAAAGGAACAGATGCCCTGAGCTCCTAGGGCCAAGTCACTGCTTCAAGGAGGAGCCAATGTATGGCTGTCAGCCTTCGGGCCCAGAGGCCGGTGGTTTGCTGCTGCCTCGACTCTAGCCCTGAGTAGGTGAATGGAGTGGCTCTGGGTTCCCTGAATCTTACAGCTAATACCAGGAAGCAAGTCTCAAGGCACGAGTTCAAGGGAGGAAATGGATGCTCTTCAAGGAACTGTAAGTGTGTACCTTGTGGAGCTGCATGGCCTCAGCCCAACCCATGATTGTGGGGTTGGCCGAGCTGCACCTGGGATCCAGTGTCCCTGGGGATGGGGAGTCACAGATGGTCGAGTGACACGTGAGTGTTAGACATTATTAGTATGCACAACACACACAGCACTGCAGAGAGGCCGGTGACAGCAGCAGCAGCAATGATGGCCTGCCTGATGTAGAAACCCAGGCTTGGGGAATTGGGGCAGCTTATTTCAGGCCATGCAGCTTGTAAGTGGTCCACCTCATCCCATGCTAGAGCCAGACCTCGAGGGCCTTAGGGGAAGTCCTTTGGGTTAAAAAATCATCCTGTATTTTCTTAGGGAAGATGAGCTTCAGCATTTCCAAAGTAGCTCTTCAGAGTGAGAATACAGTGGAAGAGAATGAACATGGGTGCTCTCCTGAACTAGCCTGGCATTCAGGGCCCTGCACAGCCTTGCTCTGGGTTCCACTTGCAGCCTCATTTCCCATCACTGATAACCGGGCTGGCACTGTTCCCTGTTCTCTTGCTGTGCAGCCTACATGGAGACATCCGTGGGGCCGGGGGGGGAGAGACTCCAGCTACCACCACGGAAGCCCATCTGTCCCTCCAAGACTTACCTCAGGTGCCACCCTCCAGGGATGGAGACTGGCCCCCAGTCCCTCCTCGGTGGACTCCAAGGATCCCGCTACCTGCCCTGCCCCCCTCCCTAGCATTCATTTGTGTGGGTACACATGCTACATCCTCCCTGTCCCCCAGGGGTCTGTCAACCCTTCAAGGGTAGAAACGGGGCATGTTTACCCAGAACCAAAGATGGGGCCTGGTACATCTGGGAGGTCTGGGTCCATACCTATGATTTCACTAGTATTTGAGGAAAGCTTTCTGCCAGTGCAGCCCAGCACCTTGAGAAGTCCCATGACTGCCTAAGGTCATGCTGACAGTTGATATCAGCCTCTCCCAGCACAGAGTAGGCTCAGAGTAGGCTTGAAGAGAACTCAGTGCCTGGAGTCTTAGAACAAAACAGAATCTCAGCACTAGAAGGGACTTTAAAGGACATTTGGTCCTTGAACAGCAGTCCCTGACATGTGGCCATCTGGCCTCAACTTGAATACTCCCTAGGTTGGGAAGCTCACTGCCTTCTCAGGTAGCCCATTCCCTGACATTTGTTGAGCCACAGTCTGACTCTGTGAGTGACTTCCATCCATTGCTCTGAGGTCTGCCTCAAAGGCAAAACAGAACAAAGCTTAATCCCTCTTCATGACATAGTCCTGCAAAAACTAGGTGACCCTTCCCCACTCTTCCTCCAAACCTCCATCCTATGACATTGCCAGTCCTTCCAGTTGATCTCTGCATATCTTTCCTGAAGTTGCTGAGAGGTCTGTAGCCAGGAGGGCCGAGGGCCTGTGGAGGCAGGGTGGAAATACCAGAGACAGGGGCCCCAGGGGGTGGGTGGACAGCTGGCCACATCTTCTTTTGCCCTCACTCAGTGAGGCTGCTCAGGGAAGCTTCCAAGGTCACTCTGCTGCATTTCTGAAGGGAGCTGGGCTTTAGACCTGAAGGGAGGGGGGTTGGACAGGACTTGAGAATGGCCAAGAGGGCAGTCCTGGTGGCAGCCAACATTGTCCTGGCAGTCACTTTGCAGGTTCTTCTCCTTGGTGGTTGAGGATCCACGTGATGAGCTTAGGACATGAGTTCTGGACCCTGGAGGATTCCCTCCTGTTCTTTGGGGGCAGGGGAGGGCAGTGATGATGGTGGGTCTCATCCAGGATTCAGCCAGCCTGCCCAGCCTGTTTAACTTGACCCCAGGGGAGACCAGCATTCCCTCTTCTCACAGGAACATTGTTATCAGAGGTGGGATGTTCTATGCTCTGGGCATCTCCTGGCCTCCACAGACCACTGTGGGCTGGAAGGGAGCCTCCCAGCCAAGCGGCAGTGGGGGTCGTCTGCAGTACCTCTATTCCCAGAGGAAAGAAATTGGAGATAATGAATCTTGGGGAGGAATTTTGCTCATCTGGGGGATTTTAGAACCATAGAAAGAAACATGCCCTACAAATAACATGGGGATTTCTCCCAAAGAGGAAGTCAGAGTGGGTGTGCATTAAGCATTAGTTTTTCATGTCTTCTGTCATAATATATTATAGACAGATGGGTGGTGCAGGGGAGAGAGGGTTGGGCTTGGAGTCATAAGACCTGAGTTCAAATCCTGCCTTAGACACTTAGTAGCAGTGGGACCCTGAGGCAGCCATTTGACTTCTCTCATGCTCAGTTTCCTCCTCTGCAAAAATGGGGGTAATAGCACCTCCCTTCCAGGGCTGTTGTGAGGGTCAAACAAGGTAATCTAGTCAAAGCCTTCAAGCCTTCAAGGGTCTCATAAAGCCAGCTATGATGATGATAAATGGTGATGGTGTTGGCACACTGCCTTGGGCTTCCAGGACCCTCCAGTTCATTTTCTCTCTCTGTCTTGTGCTTGGCATTGTGCTGTGAAGCATGTTCCCCAAGGCCCTGCATTGTGGCATGGATGAGGGTGACACAAGGGAAGAGTCAGGACAGTCAGGGACAGTCAAGATGGCCCTTTGCTCTTGGCTTGCTTTCTGTTCCCCAAACTTGGCACTCATCTCTTGCCTCAGTACCTCCACTCAGGCCTGGAATGCACTTTTTCTTTCTCCTCCTCCTCTCCTCCTCCTCCTCTCCTCCTCCTCTCTTCCTCTTCTCCTCCTCCAACTCCTCCCTCCTCCTCACCTCTTGGAGTCCTCGGCTTCCCTCAGGGCTTGGTTCCTGGGTCCCTCCCTTGAGGAGGCTGTCCTCATCCCCTGGTTATTCCTGTGCTCTCCCTTTTAAGATTCTTCCACGATAACACTGTGACTGGTTTTGTTCTCTTTAAACGCCCAGTGGCTTGCACACAGCAGGTGCCTAGCACAAGACTGGAATACAGTAGAGATGCTAAGGAAAGGAGATGAGGCCGACCTCCCAGGTCTCTCTCTCATTTGGAAAGGGAACGCTGTATTCAGAGGAAACAGGATGGGCAGAGGTGGGGAGCGGGAAACCTTGTACATTAAAGAGACTCTCACGGGAAGTCAGGGCAGCAGAGCAATGAAGGCCCCTGGATAGTGTCGGGATGAAGGCCAAGGCAGGCAGAGGGAGAAGGACATCACCACCGGTGTCTGCTACAGACACCTGGACGGGAAGAGGAAGCAAAGGAGGAATGTGCAGAGCGCCTGAGCAGCCAAGGGGCTGCTGCGCCTTCTCCGCCCACCCCAAACTAAACTACTTCCCGGCGCCAGGAGAGCAGCCAAAGGGAGTCAGCCAGAGCTCAGCCGGGCCCCAGCTGGGCCCTCCCGTTCAGAGGCGGCAAGGGCAGAGGAGAGGAGGCCGGCGCACCCTGGGTTCTGGGAGAGCAGGTTTCAGAGGGTTCGGAGGAAGGAGAGGAAACGTCTGGTACCACCTGGCTGTGATGAACAAGGAAGCAAAGTGGCCAGCTCTTAGGTTCTTGTAGAGTTTTGTTTTTCTGCCGTGGAAATGGGATCGTGGGGTCTATGAAAGGCCCTTGGAGGCCAGTGGCTCCAAGCCCCGGGTTTTACAAAGGGGAAAACTGAAGCCCAAACGACTTTCCTGTGGCCACCGAGGCAGTATTTGAACTCAGGTCCTCGGCCCTCAGAGTCAGCTCCGTTAAGTCCAATGAAGAGGCAATGAGGGGCATTATGGGTGAAAGGCAGGTCAATGCCAGAGGTGTTGTGAAGGGTGAATTGCTGGGACTCTGACAATTGGGATAGAGAACGAGCAGTGTGCCAGGCATTGTGAGAAGCCCATCACAAATAAAGAGGATCTCGTTAGATCCTCACAACAATCCTGGGAGGTAGGATTACTATCCCCATTTTATGGTTGAGGAAACTGAGGCAGTCTTTCTGATTCCTGGCCCAGGCTCTGTGGTGCCCCCTAGCAGCCACCGAGGTAGTGAGCTTGGGAGACAGGCAGGTTGGGGATGTTAGGAGAGACTCCGAAGAGAGGGGAAGAAGTGGAGGCTGTGTGTGGGTGTGGCTCCTCAGGCCAGTTCGCTTGTTGGTGCGATGCGACTCTGGGGTCTGCGCAGCTTCTGGTGCTGAGGGGTGACAGCTGCCCCCCGCTGCTTTAGCGCCCTGGCCTCAGGGCCCAGCTCTGGGAGCTGCAATGCATCTTCCTTCCCCGTGCAGGCGGAGTGATAAGGGATTCATTTCACGAGGGGCTTAACCCCAGTTAAGGGTTTCCGTGCAGAAGCCCCAGCACATGGATGGATGGCGAGGCTCCTTTCCCCACCCTCCGCAAAGCCTGTGTTAGGTTGTGACCACCCATCAGCCAGGGCGTGAGGTCACATTTGAACTCAGGTCCTCCTGACTCCAGGCCCTGCACTCTATCCAGGACGCCACTTAGCCGTTTGCCAAAGGATTTGCTGAAATCCAGATAAACTCTGCCTGCAGCATCCCTCTGACTGGCTCAGCACCATGTGGGAGGCAGGAGGAGGAGGGGCTGTTGACCAGGTGACTGACTGTTGGTCCCCCACCCCCCCAGTGCTGAGCTGATAGGCTGGCGCAGGGGTGGCCAACCTGCAGCCTCGAGGCCACAAGTGGTCTTCTAGGTCCTCAAGTGCCTCCCTTTGAAGTTTGGATTCAGTGAAAGGGCTGCACTTGCGGATCTGAGAGGGCCACACGTGGCCTGGAGGCTGCAGGTTTCCCACCCCTGGGCTGGCGGATCACTGTCTGGAGCTGCTGCAGTCCTGATTTTGCCAGAGAGGAGCTCAGGAGGACTCCAGCTGCGTAGTCCTAAGGCACGGCTTTGACTGTGTCACTCCCCAGCTCAATGAGCTCTTCCCTATTGCTCCTAGGATCAAGCACAGCCTCTATTTGCTTTTAAAGCCCCTGCCCCGCCCCCATCTCCAGCCTTATTTCACATTTTCCCCTTCTCATACCTTCTCTTCCAGACAGAGTAAGCTGCTTGGTGTTCCATGAGCTGCTCTCCTATGCCTTAAACGCACCCTCTCCTCTCCTTGGCCTGTCAGAACCCTTCTTTTCTTTCAAGGCTTAGATCAGGCCTCTTCCTTCCCTCATTCTTCCCTGAGTCACTGTCTCTTCCTCCCTTTCCCCACCAAGGCCCGACCACTAGCTCTCCTTGAATTACCTTAGATTTACCTATCTGCTTTACATATCATGTCCCCCAGTAGAACGCAAACTTCTGGAGGGCAGGAACATCTCCTTTTTGTCTCTGCATCCCATGCCCAGCACAGTGCCAGGCACAGAGGAAGTGCTTCCTCACTGTTTGCTGAATTGAATTGAATTTTTTAAGGCCTCAGGCCAAGAGCCAGGGAATCGCCAGGAAATGCTCACCTCTCCATTGAAGAAGCAGAAAATGGTAGCCACAAGCAAGCCCTGAACACAAAAACGACAGGAAAGAAAAAAGGCAAGAAATGGGGTGTCAGTGATTGCTGGGTCATTGTGTTGTTTTTAAGTAGCAGGCCACTGTACTCAGAGGGATGAAGGCCCTGGCCCTGGCATTAACTAGCTGTGTGTCCTTGAGTCTGTTGACCTCTTCTGGCCTCAGTTTCCTCAACTGCAAAGTGAGAGAGATTCTCCATCTATGTACCTTCTAATTCTAACAGTGTCTGGATTTTTATTAAATGGGGTAGTGATAACCTGGAAAGCCCCTGGAGGACCACGATGGCAAAAGAGCTGGGTTTGGTCAGTACAGAGAAGAGGAGGCTCAGGGGGAAGTGAAGGAAGGGGAGAATTAGTCTTGTTCTGCTCCACTCCAAAGGGCAGACCCAGGAGCAATTCAGGGAAGCCATGCAGGCCCACTGGGGCTCACAGTCAGAAAAAAAAAAACAAAAATAAAAACAAAAAACCTCAAAGCTTCCTTCCAGCAAAGCTGTTGGAAGTCATGGGTTTCTTTCTCGGAGGGCTTGAAGCAAAGGTTGGATAATCATTTGTTGGGTATATTCTCTGTGTGTGTGTGTGTGTGTGTGAGAGAGAGAGAGAGAGAGAGAGAGAGAGAGAGAGAGAGAGAGAGAGAGAGAGAGAAAGTATGTATATATGTATATGATTATGAATGTGAATGTGAGACCTTGAGTGTATGTATATGATTATGAGTGTGTGTGTAAGACTGTGTATGAGACTCTGTGTGTGTGATTATGAGTGTAAGAGTGTGTGAGACTGTGTGATTATGAGTGTGTGTGTATGATTATGAGTATGTGTGTAGGAGTGTGTGTGAGACTGTGTATATGATTATGAGTGAGTGCGTGTGTAAGAATGTGAGTGAGACCAAGTGTGTGTATGATTACGAGTGTGTGTGTGAGAGTATGTATGAGACTGTGTGTGTATGTGTATTCATTCTAGCTCCTCCTGGGCTGGCACCAGATGGCCTCCCAAGTTTGGGCCACCTCTCAGATTCTGTGATTTGGGGTTGATCTCTAAGGGGCTGCTTCCAGGCAGGGTTCAGAGCTGAATTACTGGGGCTGGTAAAGACTTGCTTGTTTTTGGGGGGAGGCAATCAGGGGTTAAGTGACTTGCCCAGGGTCACACAGTAGTAAGTGTCAAATGTCTGAGGGCGCATTTGAACTCAGGTCCTCTGCATTCCAAGGCCAGTGCTCTATCCACTGGGCCACCTAGCTGTCCCCTCCCCCTTTTGTTTTGTTTGTTCTGGTAAAGGGTTGATGACTTGCCCACAGTCACAACAGCTTGGATGGAGGATCAAGCAGATAAGTAAATCCGTGCTTGGCAGACTTTAAAGTGCTCGTAAGTGCGCCCTCCTACTCCGGGGTCAAGAACTCTTTTCTCCGGACTGTGCAGCCACTCAAGCTCTATCATTTCTGGAATATTGGAACTTGTATTGGGCTGAGCACGTGCCTTGCATTCATTCCGTTTCATCAGTTCTGAAACAACCAATTAACTCCCCCTCCCCCAACCTAACAGAGTCTTTGCTGCCTAACGAAACGCTGCGGCCTGGAGTGGCTGCTGTCGGCAGGCTCCACGCTCTCACTGGCTCCCCTGCAGGACGCCGGGAGGGCCGCGGAGGGCCCTGAGAGCAGCCCTCGGAGGCCAGGCCGGGGGCGTCCCTACCTGGTAGTGCATGAGCACGTGCATAACGTAGTCGTACACCTCTCCGGCCAGCTTGCTCTCGGGCCGCCAGGGGATGACGACGAACTGGATGCCCAGCAGGGGCACGAGGATCAGCGCGGCCCGCACGGCCTTCATGTACATGTTGGACTCGGCGCGGTGGGTGTCGCGGAGCTTGGTCACCAGCACTCGCCCGATGTTGAGCAGGAAGAAGAAATTCACCTGGAGCGTGCGGTCCGGGGCTCAGCGGGAGCAGCCGGGCATGCGCGCCCCTTTCCCAGCCCTCCCCTGCCACTGCCGGAGCCCCCGAGGGAGGGAGAGTGCGAATCCGAGCTCGGGCCCTTCCGACCTGTCACCTAACCGCTGCCTTCCTCGGTTTACTCCCCAGGCGCTTTAGGAATGCTCTCTCATTCGAACCACCTGCCCCAGGCTCAGGTGCCCTCCAGGGAGTCTCTGGTCTTTCCCCTTCTCCGGGCCCCTGGGGCTCACACTTTCCCCGTGGGGAGGTGTGGAAAGAGCAGACCAGCCACGCCTCAGAGTTGGACTTCACAAGCCTGCTCGGGCCTGCCTCCCTCCACTGGTGGAGGTCAAATCTAGAGGGCCCTAGGGGACATGCCTGGGGAAGGGGAGCCTTGGGCTGCTTCCACCACCCAGGAATCGTCTCCTGGCTGGAGGGGGACTCTGCGTGATGCTAATGAACACAGGCAAGCTGGGCTCACCAGCAGCGCTGCCATGATGGGCGCGTGTATGATGTACAGCAGGTGGGTGTCCACACTCATCCAGCAGCTGCGAAGGAAGCACAAGGTCAGTCTGGGCGTCTGGGCCGGGAGGAGGCCGCAGTGAAGAAGGGTCTAGGTCAATGGGCTCTTACTTGTCATTGAAGAACTTGGTTCTGGAAACAGCATGAATGCAGGCTGGTATCAGAGGGAAACCTGGAAGAGAAGAGGACCCAAGGTAACAGCAGCTGTTTGCTGTTCCCCTGCCTGAAGGCCCTTCTGCACACGTGGGGATTCAAAGATGTCTTTCACTGTATGGACCCTCACCATCCATGCACACGTGGTGTTAGTTCCCTTCCCCATAATATCCCCCCACCCACCCACCCAATAGAATGTAAGCCTATGGAAAACAGCCATCAGAAGCCTCAGCATCTAGTATAGATCGGAGATTTAATCAGTCAACTCACAAGTCCTTAAATGCTTATTCTGTATGAGGCAAAGGGCTAGCCCCTGGACATAAGACAAATGGGACCCTTCCTGCCCTTGGGGAGTCTCTGTTCTGTCAGAGGAGACAACAAGACAGAGTGTAGTAGGGACAGAACACTGGGCTTTCAGTCAGGAAGACTCTAGTTTGAATTTGGCCACAGACCCTTCCTAGCTGTGTGACCCTGGGCAAGTACTTCACTTAGATTCCTTTGGCCCCCATTTCCTCATCTGTAAAATGGGAATAATAGTTATTATTAGTTATTATGTATGTATGTATGTATGTATGGGAACTGGACCTTTGGCTTCATTGCTTTAGGACTTCCCAGGTGAGGAAACTCCTATGAAGGTGGGTTGGTGCCATCTCTGAAAATTCTGGTCTTAGAAAGCTGCCTGGGACACGTAAGAGGTTAAGTGACTTGTTTGGGGGTCACACGATCAGTATGTGTCAGAGGCATGATATGGACCCAGGACTCTCTGGCTTGCAGTCCAGCTCTCTGTCCACTTTCTTCTCCTCCTCCTCTTCTTATTCCTCCTCCTCTTTCTCCATCCCTCTCTCCAATCTCTGTATCTACATTTCTGTCTTTGGTCTTGTTCTTCCCCCTGTTTCCCTTCCTCTTTTTCTCTCTCTGTCTCTCTCTGTCATTCTCTCTCCCTCTCCTTTCAAAATAAAAATAAGGGAATTTTGAGGGGAGGGCAGGAGCATCTGGAGGGATCCTGAAAAGTGGGGCTTCAGCTGAGTTTTGAAGCAGAGAGTGAAGGAGTGCCTTCCACCAAGATGGAAAGTACCTCGGAAGTCATCTACTACCGTGCCTTATGTGACAGGCTTGTAGAGATGAAGTCGCACCGAGAGTAGAGGGCAGAGCTGGGATTCGAACACAGGCACTCGGACTCCAATACAGAGTTTGTCTCCGTCCCATGCTGCTTCTCACTAGCTGAGGATATTAGGTGAGAAGTATTTTCCATGGTGGAATGTGGCTATTTGTCTCCTACCACATGTTTAAGAGAGGGGGTGTTTTCTGTCTGTTTACTGCTTTGAATGTGTGTCCTTTTTAGAAGCATCTCCCCCCCCCCCACGACGTCTCCACTGTGCTCAGCTCTGTGTACTTGCCCAGGCCTCAGGAGACTGATCTGTCAGAAGACCCAGGGGAGGTAGCCATACATACCCCAGCCCAGAAGGTAGTACCAGTGCAGCCTGTGCTCCTCAGCAAACACAGCCACTACAATGAGAGTGTGCAGGTAGATGCCTTCACACAGCATCCAGAAGTAATTGCATCCCATCATATACTGGTGGAAGAACTGTAGGACCTTGCAGCTCACCTAGAGGGGCAGGAAAAGGAGAGTGTTCAGCTGGAGACCTGGCGGCCCCTGCCCCTGGGCACCCCCTTCTTCACCCTCTGGAGGTGGCCTCTGCCAGGGATGGAGCTATGACTCAGGCCAGCCAAGACGAGATGGGTCTCCCAACATGCCTGATGTTCCATGCAAGCAGACCGGCTGCTAGGGGCCTAGAACATGGAACGAATCTGGGAGAAGGGGAGGTCCCATATCACTCAGGTCCAGATGTACCTGTGGAGAGCCCTGCCGACCACACAGAGGGGCCATAGGCTCCTGATCGATTGTATGAGCTATAGCATGCTCTTACTGGTTATTTGGGTTAGTGACAAAGGTGCATTCTTTCCTAGAATGCTTGTTCATTGTGCTCCTGCAGTAGAGTGAAATGCCACAATGCTTCTTTTTTTTAAAAAAATTAATTTATTTGGAATTATCAACCGTCACTTCCATAAGCTTTTGAGCTTTGAATTTTTCTTCCCCCCCCCCAAGGTGATACACAATCTGATATAGGCTCTATATATACATTCCTATTAAACATATTTTCACATTGGTGATGTTGTAAGGAAGAATTAGAACCAATAGGAGGAACCACCAGAAAGAGGAAACACAACAGAAGAAAAAAAGAGCAAATAGTCTGCTTCAATCTGCATTCAGACTCCATGGTTCTTTCTCTGGATGTGGATAGTATTTTCCATCATGAGGCCTTTGGAGATGTCTTAGATCCTTGTATTGCTGAGAAGGGTTAAGTCTATTGAAGTTAGTCATCATATAACGTAGTTGTTACTGTGTACGATGTTCTCCTGGTTCTGCTCACTTCACTCAGCACATGATGCTTCCTTTGTAAGAAGCAACAGGACAGGGGTGAGTTTCCTGTACCTGGGACAGGTGCTTTGGGGGCCAGGGAGTCAAGCACTTTGGCTACTTTCCTCTGCCTTCACTGATACCTTTGTGGGAACTTTCCTTGGGAGTGATATAATTTCCACATTGGTGTTTGAAAGGTGAGAGGTGCTTCATGGCCTCCATTCATGTGCTGGCTTGGAGTTCATCCCCTGGCTCTTTGTAGTCAGTCATTTATTGACCTGGAGGCCTCTGTGCAATGTCAACAGACTTGGCATTTGAGTTCCAAGGCTATGCCAGCCAGCATAAGCCCTAGAAGGGTCTGCCATATTGGATAGCCTCCCAGGATAGGCCCCACAATTGCTCAACTTTATCTTCCAGGACTAGCCTAGTCAATACAGAAATATCTACCACCAGCAGACTGGCCACTTTGGGGTGAATTCTTTGGTCCTAGCAGCCCATGAGGCAGAATGCAAAAGGGCCCTCAGTCCTGTGAGGCTCTGTCTTCTTCTTCAGCCACAGTGGTCATGTGGTAGAAAATGGGCACACTAACAACCACACAGTCTTTAGACCATCTATAACTATCAACTCAGCTGTTGGTGTCTTAAGTGTGGGATTCTTGTCCAATGACCATAAAGTCATACTTGTTGCCAGAGGAACTGAGTGGCATTCATCTTGAAATTCTCAGTGGAAGGATGGCTCATGGGATTTTCTCACAGAGGCAAAGAAAAGAGTTGGCAGAACTGACTTCATTGTGTCCCAAAAGATGACAAGAAACAGCACTTTATGGGGCCCTGGGTCATCTATTGCAGGGCTCATCATTAGTACTGCAAAAAGACCATCTTGAAAGCAGTTGTCTATGATGTGCCAATGCTTACTACAAAGGAGGAGAAGGAAGTAGAGAGAAATCTACTAGGAATTAGAAAAACACATATTTTAATACTCTAATGTCAATACCAAGGTGGGTACTAGAAAGAGTATAAAAATATTTTGGAAAAGGTGGTCCAGGAGCAAGAAATGAGAGAGACTAAAGGCTTGTAGACTATGTATGGACAGGGAGTCGTGTCTGACTCTTCATGACTCCATTTGGCTTTTTTTTATGGCAAAGATACTGGAGAAGTTTGCCATTTAATTCTTCAGTTCATTTTACAGATGAGGAAACTGAGGCAAAAAAGGTTAAGTGACTTGCCCAGGGTTACACAACTAGTAAATGTCTGAGGCCAGATTTGAACTCAGGAAGATGAGTCTTCCTGACTCCAGACTCAATACTCTATACATTATGCTGCCACCTAGCTGCTCTATGCATAGACACTTTCTACCTATATAACATGACTTAAATGAGATAAAACTCAAAGCACTCTAACTGTTGCATAGATGTCAGTTGTTGTAGTTGTAGTCATCATCGTCATCATCATCATCATTGTTGTCATCAGCATCATCATTATTGTCATTGTCATTATCATTGTCATCATCATCATCATTGTCATCATCATTGTTGTCATTGTTGGCATTATCATCGTCGTCATCGTCATCATCTTCATCATCATCATCATTGTGATCTTCATCATCGTCGTCATCATCGGCATCATCATGATCGTCATCATAATCGTTGTTGTCATCATCATTGTCATCATCATCATTGTTGGTCATCATTGTCATCATCGGCATCATCATTGTTCAAGTTCCAAAATGCCAACTTCCTAAGTAGAGCATGCCAATCACCTAGAAAAGGTTTGAGGTCTTTAGGGACCTGGAAACTCAATAAGAATTGAACACTGGGAAAGCAAAAGCGATGTTGGGCAAGAGGTTCATAGGGTCTTAAGACTTGGGAGGTGATAACTCCATTGTCTTTTGTCCTTGAGTCTTGGTTTCAGTTTTGGAGATGCCAGTTTAGGAAGAATATTGATAAGCTGTAGAGCACCCAGAAAAGAGCAGCCAAATGGTGGAGGGTCTCAAGTTCAGGCTGCGCAAATATCAGTTGGACAAAATAGGGAAGTTTAACTGTATTCAAGTTTTGGAAGAGTTTTGGAAGAGAGAGAGGGCTGATTCTGCTTGGCCTCAGAGGAGAGCAACAAGCACAGCAGGCAGAACTGGTAAAGGAAATAGCTTAGGTGAGATCTAGAGAAGCTTCCCAAGAATTAGTCTGCTCAAAAATGACACAAAAAGAAGAAAATGAGGGCTAAGAGTAACATTTTGGGCAAACTATATGTGATTGGCTTCTGGTGATTATTGAACGGCATTCCTAAAGTACACACTTATTTTCAGCATTTCGTAGGTAATTCATAAATATGGTGGAAAGGCAGAAATATTAAAGTTGCTCTTTGTATGCCAAAACACACAATTGTGATCATCCCGAGTGATAAGAACAAATGGAATGTGCCCAATGGTAATTAAATAATGACATCATGAAAATGAATGGGTTAAGGAACAAATCATAGAAACAACAAATTATCATTATCTTAAAGAGAATGAGAACAATGAGATAACAGACCAAAATTTATGGAATGAAGCCAAAGCCATTCTTGGAGGAAATTATATATTTCTGAACACATATTGGGGGGAGGGGGTGGAATCTAATCATTTAACAGGCAATTTAATAAATGAATTAATGAACTTGCCCCCTTCCAGGTGACTGTGCCCTAGGGCTTACTCTCCTGATAGGTGAGTCCTTGACTGAGATCACTGTTTCCTGAGGAGCCTTAGTCAGGCTACTTACTTCACTCCCTGCTCACGTTGCTGTACAGGCTCCCCTGCCTCTCCACTACATACCGTGAATTCCTGCGCTAGTGCCCTTCACCCTCCCCATCCCTTACAGCTCTCCTTCATGTTTTGGCTTCCCTTACATAACCTCCTTGAGAGCAGAGAATGTTTTGTGTCCTCAGTTCTTAGCATTGTGCCTGGCACACAGTAAATATTTAATACGTGTATAAATGTTCTCTCTTCTCTCCTCTCTCTCTCTCTCTCTCTCTCTCTCTCTCTCTCTCTCTCTCTCTCTCTCTCTCTCTCTCTCTCATCAATAATACCAAAACATGCACAAAAGTAGAAAATTTTGAGAGAAATCAAAAGAGGAATAAAAAATTGCAAACAAAAACTCTACGGTACTGATAAACAAGATAAATAGCTGTTTGTTATTAAAGATCTACAAAATAAGCAAACCATTAGCTAATTTGGTAAAAAGAGGAGGAAAACTAAAAGATTGATTTCCCAATAACAAGAAAGTAGTCCTCACAGCAAATAGGGAGGAACTAGAGAAAATTATTAGACATGACTATGACAATTATATTAAACCATAACACATCTGAAAACCTAAATGAAATGCATAAATATTTGGGGGGAAAGCCAGAATTATACTCATTTCCCTCCAAATCCATCCATTCTCTAGACTTACCCATTTCTGTTTGTGGTGCCTCCATCCTCCTATAAACCAGGTCTCAGCCTTGACTCTTCCCTCTCTCAACCCCTACATCTTCCCAGTTGCCAAGTCTTGTTAATCCGCTGTCCACCATATTGCTCATATCCATCCCCTTCTGTCCATTCATCCCACTCTTCCAATAGTTCGTGTCCTCATTGGACCATTTTGGCAGCCTTCTAGGTCATCTTTAGCGTGTCCAGTTCTCCTTTCACACAGATGCCAAACTGATAGGACCAAAACAGAGATCTGACTCTGTTCAAAATTCCTCAGTGGCTCCTACTGCCCCAGGATGAACGGCAGATCCTCCATCTGAGTCTCATTCCCCCCTGCCCTTCTGGTCTTGTTTCATACGGCTTCCCTTACCACACTTGCTGTTTCAGTCCAGCTGGTCTGCAAGTGTATGGTCCTCCTTCAGGCCTGGAGCACAGCCCTGCCTCACCTTAGGCTCCTGAACCTCAGCTCAAGGGCCATCTCTGTGTGGGGCCTTTCTTTCTCCTGTTAGTAGAGTTCTAGCCCTCACATAGTTACTTTGTGTTACTTGGTATGTACTTTGTATTTCTTATCTGTGTAGGAGAATCCTGCTAGCAGATTGAATCCTCCCTGGGGGCCATGACTTTTATTGTCTTTGTTTGTACCTTAAATACAGTAGGTGCTATTAAGCTAATAATGTTTGTTGAATGAATAGAAAAGTACAAAACCTCAAATTAATAAAAAGAGGGAAAAGAATCTAAATGATCCT